GCTCGAGATGGAGTGCATGATGATGGTTCACGACCTGTCTCGGGCGGTGACCTGAGGCGCTTGAAACGCGGACCAAAGGAAAAAGACACTATCGCTTCACGTGTGCGCAAACATCATGGTGGGGTTGCTAGCATTCCACTATCATGAGTCCCCGCAACTGGGCAGATTTCAGTTTCTGAGGACTCTTTCAGCGATCACGGCGGCGAGGAGCGGATCGAGCTGCATGGTGGGAGCGGTCATCCACGAGGTGACACTTCGAGTATGCACGCGACAACTCCGATGGGGCCTTCCGCAGCAGTCCCAGAATCGCAACAGGGTCCAGCACCATAAATGCGTTATCCCGAGGTTCAGGGAGAGATCAGCCCTCTTCCGGCAGTGCGGGACGAGGGTTCTGTCGTTGCACTGCATCCACTCACGTCTGCCGGAGCGGCAGTCTCAGTTGCAGCGACCTCGGATGTGGGACAACCACTGGCAGCGGCGGAGCAAGAAAGTATGCTCCCACCTCGCAGTGTTCAACCGCGGCCACTGCCTGCATTGATGGAGGGGAGTCAGGGGACCGTTGTTGTGTGTCAAGGCGACGATCTCCCGGAACGTGATATCTCACACACTCCCGCAGCTGAGCTGAGCGCCGCAGACCATGTCGGCCTCGCATGCCCCACCGGCAGTCTTCCGGGTACCGGCGAGTTACTGACCATGGACTCTGCGCTCGTTTCTCTACCGGACTTGTCGACGTTGATATCCCCAGGTCTACCCCATGTGTCACCGCCCAAGCCACAACAGGTTGTTGTCATCGAGCGTGGATCGGACGGGTTTGACGTGGCAGGAGGCGATATCGCCGATATGATTACGATCCCAATGGTGTCTGCCACACCCACAATTTTTCGTGTTGGCAAACTACGCGAGGTGGCCCTTGGTTTGGCGGACACGGCGACGCGACACCGCCGCGATGGTCAGCGCAGCATCATACAACGCAGTCTTTCTCATTCGTTTGACGGCGCAGAGGAAGGGTCTCCTGGTGGGCCAGTTGACACACTCGAAAGAGATGCAAGACCCCCAAGTCCGCCGTCAAACTTAGAGCATCATCCGATTGCCGCGGCTGTCGGCGCAGATGCGGGCGTCCCCGTCACAAACAGTGGCGCAGACGCGACARAACAGCTTGTGGTTGGGTCATCGGCGACAGCMMRGCGCGACAGAGCCACTGTTTTGCCGACAGTGGCATTTTATGCCAGCGGGAAGAGTACTGGGGGRATGGATGAGCAGGGAGTCCGGAATGTTGGTAGGCCATCTGCACCGTCTATGGGGAAACGATCCATTGGGAGTGTGGATGGTGCTCGGCACACCGCCATGGCCGAGTTTGAGGACCGACACGGGAGTGCTTTGCCGACGAAGACGTCTGATGTCCATGCTATGAGAGCCTTAAAGGCGAGTCTTTCTCGGGCAAGGAAGAAGGCCTCGGCAAGGAAGGCGTCACGTTCATCCTCACATATGTGTTCCCGAGAGAGAGGATCGGGCGTTGTGCATCTCGAGGACGGAGAGATTGCACCTGGCGACGACGAATTGGATGTTGGAGGGAGGGATGCAACGACGGCAGATATCGTCGGCAGGGAGGGCACAGGGAATGCAGTGGCAGGTCAGAAGAGACGCGGCAGTGTACTTATCGTCCACGACGACAGCACAGATGTCGCCCCGGGAGAGACCACAGGCACTGATGATGCAGGGGACTCCGATTACGTACCCAAACCACGGGCGGCAGATGGAGATGATGGAGGAGGGCGACGAGTGAGACCGAGGACACGACTCGGGCCGCAAGGGCAGCAAGCACAGGGCGCACCATCGGCGATGATTCCTGCCCCCACAGATCGGCGAGCTCAGGCGCAGCGGTTGCTGCGCAAAATGGAGGCCACTCTTCAACAGACGCACGGGTTATCGCTTTGCCGCGAAGAGACGGAGACTCAGAGACAGGGAGAGAGGGAGGGAGAGAGAGAGAGAGAGACA